TTTATTTATTTGACAGAGAGAGAAATAGCGAGAGCAGGAACACAAGCAGGGGGAATGGGAGAGGGAGAAGCAGGCCTCCCGCCGAGCAGGGAGACTGATGTGGGACTCGATCCCAGTACCCTGGGATCACAACCTGAGCCGAAGGCACACGCTTAACGACTGAGCCACCCAGGCGCCCCAGAGTGATTTTTCTAAATGAAAAATCTGATCTCAGCTAAAAATCCTCAGTGCTCCTCCTTTGCTCTTAGTTAGGTTCAAGTCTGTACCTCCTGACAGAGCCAACAAGGCCCACTTTTGTTTCAATTTTTTTTTTAAAGATTTTAAAAAATTATTTATTTATTTGACAGAGAGAGAGACACAGCGAGAGAGGGAACAAAAGCAGGGGGAGTGAGAGGGAGAAGCAGGCTTCCTGCTGAGCTGGGAGCCCGATGCGGGGCTCGCTCCCAGGAACCTGGGATCATGACCTGAGCCTAAGGCAGACGCTTAACGACTGAGCCACCCAGGCGCCCCTGTTTTTCAGTTTTAGTATCACTACTGCGTTCCTTCCCTTGTTCTACTTCACCCCTTACCCACATAAACTCCCTGAGAGCAGAAGTCATGTCTGTATAATTTATTTTATCCCCATCGTGTAGAACAAGGCATGACACTGTAATTCATTGATTGCCTGCCCCATGCTATGAAGTAAGCTCCAGAAGAGGTTGTTAGGAGAAATACTTGAACTGTAGACAGCTTCCTCGCCAAAGGAAGCTCTTCGAGGATAGGAGCAGCGTCTGCCCTCTCCTGGCAGCGAAAGGCACTGCCTCCATTTGCGGAGGAGAAGGTATACGCAATTGACCGGTTCTCTGCTGGGAACTGGGAGGAGGGCATTCACCTTTGCGAAAAATTCAATTTGAGAAGAGAATTTCCTTATTTCCTGAACCGTGGAGGAATATGCCATTGGGAAGTTCTCCCGGGGAAGGGTTAGACTGGTTTTTGGAAGAGCTGAGATGTGGAATTTTGTAAGGGACAGCTTGAAGCCTGCTTTTATAGCCTTGAGTGCAAGTTCAGGAAACAAGTTCTGATGGGAACCTTAATTGTAGGTTGTTTCTTTGTTTCTTGGTCCAAGATCATGAGTAGTATGTGTTATTATCATTTAATATTTCGTAAATCCTCTACCTGAGGATACTTTATGAAGGGGATTTTTGGAACAGGGAGATTGAGTAGAGGCTGGCTCCATCCAATTCACAGACCAATCTGATATCGCAGTACCTCCATGAATGGTGTGGTTCTCTCTTTTGGGATAGTTGTCAGTTAAAATGCAGACTGTTGGTATTCCACTGTGTCTTTTGGTTTTTGGAAAAAAAAATTTAAGGTGAATCTGCTGTTTCCCCTCTTTCTTTCATGCTATATATATATTTTTTAAGATTTTATTTATTTGCGAGAGAGAGAATGAGAGAGAGCACGAGAGGGAGGAGGGTCAGAGGGAGAAGCAGGCTCCCCGCCGAGCAGGGAGCCCGATGCGGGACTCGATCCCGGGACTC